GCACAGCGCTTTCGGCTAAATCAGTTTGTGGCATGATGTACTGTATATCGTATCACATGTGATCTCCCTAGTTCCCTGCCAGTTCCTCGATAGTTCTAGGAGTGTTCCAGGAGCTGGCGAGTTTCTATAGGGTTAGCTGTTTTTCGAACTAGTGGGAAAAAAAAGGATTAGTTTTCGGATCCCTTGTATCATTTTATTTATTTGATAAGCGCTCATACAGCATTTACAGATACACATGAATAAAAAAGGAGAAAGGCCCGATATGGGCAAAACTTTATTCATTTAATTGTTTCAACTGCATCATGCTTTACAATACCGCATATGCGAAACTACATTCGAAAATCTATAAAAAACCAAAATACAAGTGTTGAGGCCGGGACAGTATCACGTGACTGTGGCGCAGTAATAACTCAAAATTTTTTATGGTGTATGTGACCTCACTTCTCGTTAGGTCCGAAAAACCTTTTTCCTTCGCGAGGAAAAAATCAGCTCATAAAATAGGTTCTTTTAGCCATGAGGGATGTTCTGGTCATAATTTTTATTCTTTCTTATTTCAGATTACAGTACATAATCTCTTGAATTATAAAGCTTCCGTCTGCTTTGATTATAAAGCTTGAATGGACAGTTTATTTATGTATGATTACATACAGTATTAATATAACTTTATAGCAAGTTATGATTAATTTTAATATAAATTATCAAATATAGAAAAAATATCCTTTTTCACCCGTTTAACCTTAGGAGTTTCGGAAGTTTCATGTGGTGGTGATGAGGGTGGAGAGGGCGTTGATTTACGTTCTCTACGTGCACTTGTGATGCTTAAAATTTTATCGTTAAGTGCCAGCAATGTATGCTATATTAAATGAAAGAACAAACGTTAATACTTGGTAGAAATATACGGGCTTGTAAATCTATCAGTAATGCAAAATACAAACTCGAAGTCCAAGTAAAGTCTTAATAAACGTTGGTAAGAGGCCTCTCATCGTTGAGGGAGTCTTTGGTACATCCAATGTTGCCAATTCCGTAAAAAAATAAAAATTTAAATCATGATCATATGATAAAGAATAAATAGACCAGTGATGACCTACGGATTTTATTGAGATAAAAGATGAGCATAAAATCAAATAAAATTAAACATATATATATTTTATACCGGTGACTTGAATTCCAATAGTATAGATGTCCGCTAAATCTTTTTTATTAAAATGAAGTTTATTATAAAAATCATCTATCATATCTTTTAGTTCAATTTTTATGGCGGTATGATCGGATTGCAACTTCAATTCATCTTTCTTCTTCTCGGTGTTTCCAACTTCCACTGTCATAATTTCAATATTAAAGTTTCGAAACTCCAAAGACATGTCTAATTTAGTGGTATCCCTGTTTAATTCTATATATTCAGCGTTAAGACTTTTTCGTTTTCGGGAATTGGTCGCATTACATATTTTTTCAATCCTAGAAAAATTTCAAACCTTTAACAAATAAATTCACAAGCATTTAATGCATGAAAAATGATTTAAGTAGCATACCAAAATAATTCGAATTGTCCAATATTAAATTCTTGCAATAAATCTCCAAGTAATGGACCTAAGATCGCTAATGTATAATCGCGTTCCCTGAGCGGAACTGTTAAAATATTGATCTCACGGCGACAGCATTTATGACTACAAAAAATGACTGCCTTAGAGAATAAATAATATCAAACCTACACCTTAATTTATGTACTTACAAGAATGAAATTATTTCAGATGCCAATATAGCATCTTCGGAACCAATAGTTGAAATTTTAGTTTTCCACTCTTGTAAATCGTTTAAATTTCTCTATAATATAAGCGTTAAGCGTTACCTATTGATCATATTATTCATATTATATTACCTTTACAAAATAACAAATAAAATTGTTACTTATTACCAAGCTATTTGATGGATTATCGATAAAATCCAAAACTTTCTGGTCTATTCTTTCCTTTTCCAATTTTTTATTAAACGATTTCATTAATGCAATTTTGTCTTCATGCTTCAATATCCTGGACCACTCCAGATTTGTCCAATTGGTGAGATCTATAATACGAGATTCAATTGACCTACAATTACAATATGTGTTAATTACCTACCAAATCAAAATTTATATCAGTTCGGACAAAAAAACTTACTGTACTCTAATCCTTTTATCTTCTAAACGCTTCATTACAGTTCTCCAAATATCTTCCAATCTTTCTGATGTAATGTATTGTTTCACCTGTAAAAAACACCAAAATAATTATAAAAGAGTCGCGTCTACTAACAAGATTGAAGCAAACCTACCACATCGTTAGCCAGTTCTTCATATAGTTTACTCTTATCCGCATCTTCATTAGCAGGGACTATATCCTCTTTTTCATTAGCATCATCATCCTATGATAAGAATAATTTTATAACGCATTAATCATTTCACTTTTGATTCCGATGAAAGACACACTCATTTTTTTGAGTTCTTTCTGCCAATATTACTTTTTTACGCTTTAGTACTATAACATCACCATCTGATTCATCACTAACAATATGCAAAAGAATTTAATGTCAAATTTGCAAATTATAAAAAGTAATACACGAAGGAATATATTCGAATGAGGGATCTAACCATGTAGTCGGAGTATTCTCGGACGAGGAATCCAACTGTATAGCCGGTAAAAAAAAAAGAATGCAATTATTCGGTCTCGATTGAACATCGTGATAACTGGGGCAATCTACTTTAATATGAAGGCAATACCTCATCATTCTGGTGTCGGTTCTTAGATGAACTTTCTTTGTCGACCTCACTATACCAATCCTATGAAAGAATGAGATCAATGCCACAACTGGGTACAAAAGAATGGCAAACATCAATTATATCTTACAGCATAAACGTCAGATTTCTGGTTCATTCAATCATTCGTTTTTGCGGTTTGAAAATCTCCTCGTGTTTTATCCGTTATGTTTACTCTTTTCTAAAATAAAGAAATTATGTTAATAAATAATGCATCATGCGTAGCCCAATTACCCAATAATGCAATAACTTTATACTTACTTTTGCCTGTAACCTTCTTATATCTAGTAATGAATCCCCAATGGTTTTCAACCATTTTGCTTGCTGATAAGATCATTTGGAGGCAAGTTGGTTAGATAATGATGGAAGAAAACTATGGCTGAACATTAACTCATACATTCTGCTCATGAATTTTGCGAACATGATGAACGACATCACAATTGATATTTTTGATTGTAGTAATGTCAATAAGACTCTGGTTATAAATATCTAATACTTCTTGTGGTGTCACATTAGGCTTCTCATTATATACAAATTTTGTAAAAAGATCAACACAATTCCATCTCATCAAAAGTGTCTTAGAGAAAAATTGGCTAATTCTCGAATTTGGCTGACAAAAGTTTGGATCAAGCGTGAAATTGACTATTTTGCCCATCTATTTTTGCAAAAAAGAGATCTCTTGTTAATTAACAGTACCAAGACACATACACCAACATTCTTTTGTAGCCTCCACCCGGGTACAAGTTATTCAGTCGCAATCACGCGGTTGAACACATGATAGTTCGAGGCAATCCTTAACATATAACTCTAGCTGTCCTTTTCGTGTTGAACGGTCAGGCAGAAGAGTGGACCTCCTCGACACAGACCAATACTCTCCCAGAAATAAGCTCCTTCCGCTAACCTCCTCTCCTACACGTATGTTGAATACGGAGGATTTGCAAGTAAACCCTGGGGCGTTAGTATCCCAGCATCCTTTCTGTCTAATTAAGTAATCCATCCTTCGTGTTGAACCTCCGGACGGGCTTAATGATCCCCATGCAACAAAAAGAGGCGCGTGTATGTGAAAACAGACTAATATTAATAGACAAATACTTAACTTTAGAATTTTATTTTCTTTTCAGTTTTTTTTTTGCGAATTGGGTAAGTAATTGGGTAACTTTGGGTTAAATACGAAAAAAAAAATGACGTATTTGGTTTCTTGTCGCACAAATTGATTAATCATGTGCAATTTCAGTTTTTTATTTGCTACATAATAAAAAAGCCAAATAAATAAATACTTTATTATACTTCTGTATTATGGAAGAGAATGAAATATGTGATGCTATCAAAGAGGGAGGGAGTACGCGGATCCTAGGCCATTTAATGCGAGTCCCAGCATCAAGTTATTTCTTTG